GCAAAGCAACAATCGATGGCAGGGACTGGTAACAAAAAAGAGGGTGGGATTATAAAACGGCTTGCATGGATTTATAAAACAGACTCACTTGGTAGTACTTGTTCTCGCTCGTGCGCATGGAAGAGGGTGAAGAGGCTGTCCAGATGCTCAAGGTACTTCGCGTCGCTCACCTCTCTTCCTCGCGGCCACGTTCACGGCATGAAGAGTTTCGCAGAGTTGAGCGTCGACAGACTGCCGAGGCGGAAGTTGAGGTTGCAGATTAACTCCGTCGCAAACGAGAGACATGTCATCGTGCACGACTATAAGTCGCCCACGCTCGTGGTGCAGCCCGGAATGGGCTCCTCGTGCAGGGTGAATGCATGGGTGTGCGGCTGACCATCACCGTCAACGTCATCCACAGACACGTCCCGGCTGCAAGACGAGCTGCGGCTCGCGAGAAATGGCGACAACTAGGTTCTTGCACCGCCCCCGAAATGTTGACCGCAATCAATATAACGCTCCTGGATGAACACCAGAGTCGCCACACCTAGGAATGCACAGCCATAAAGTCCACTTGTGGGTAAGTGGGGGGGGAAGGCAGAACAAAATACAGAGGAGAATCAGCAAAAAGAATCACAAAAATACACTCTTAAGTGATGACAGCTTATTACCTCGCGCTTCTGGAACAACGGGTTTAGCATGTTCAGCTCAACGTGCATGTCTGAAAGGAAATAGAGAACCTTCACGAGACGAGCAATGGCGTCACTGCGACTCAACCACCGGATCGCGTGGATGCCCTGCACCTCTTGATTTGTGTGCGTGGAAGTTACCAGTCGCCACACCTCTTAAATAGACAATTATAAAGCAGAAATGGATTTACCAGTGTGGAATGTAGTGGATTGACACCAAATGGAGAATGCTTAGGCGAAGTCGCGCAACAAGACCTGTGCTGGCGCGGATCATCACCATGGCTACGTCGATAATGGTTCCCGCGACTTTACAAACACAATCATGACCACCACATGATTGCTCAGAAACGTCACGAACACAATCATGTGATTCCCTCACACACGAACGTTGCTCTCGTCGCAACTCTTTCCAATGAACGGGCTTGAGTCGATGTACTTACGCTGTTTTGCTCGCAGGTAGGTCGCCAAAGCTTCAACAAGCTCCTGGAAGCCATACCTGCATTAGGGGGCAACACGTAATACTTAGTATATTGTGTACGAATCAGTGGTGGGAAATCCGAGTTGTCGACGACAACCTCAGCGACTGGTGCTGAAGGTACTGGTGGCGGGGGTTTTGCTAGCGACGGTACTGCTGGCGGGGGTTCTGCTGGCGACGATACTGATGGCGAGGGTACTGCTGGGATAGAATGACTGTCGAGGGTACTATTGGTGAGGGTACTATGGGCGTAAACACTAGAAATCAAGACCCGTTAGGGGATGAACACTGGGAGTACGGTCACGCATGGCAAGAGCTTCACCGTCGCCCTGTGGCGACAGTGAAGCCATGTGTGATATGTGCTGCAGAAACACTGCCTGAGATACGCTGTCGGGGAGGTCAAAAACTAGGCGTAACACAACTCGCAAGAACGAAAGTTTATAAGGTATCTTCGTGCATCAGGAACGGGTTGAAGCAGATGGGGAGGAAGTCGTGGCGAGAAGGAGGAGGGAGGGAACAGAAACCCTCGTTCTAGAAAGTTCGCCATCAAACGCCATGGCAGCTCGGCGTGAGGTGTGGTTGAACACCAGGGGATGTGAAGACCTAGGGGGAAGCGCATGTTAGGGAGTCATGCAAACGCAGCAAAGTTGCTGCATGCGGCGTGGTTTCCTTGCTGCTGTGTTGCCTGATTGGTCTGTTTGGCAGTGTTCATGTGTGTTTGCAGTGGCGCACTTGCCATGCCGTACAACGGTGCAGATTTTATCGTCACGCACAGCACGCCTTGTATGTTGTGTTGCAAAACTGTCGGTGGTTCTGTAATCTAGTACGAGAATTGTTTTCCTGGCACAGGCAGATTCAGGGTAGTTTTCAATAGGATCCTGAAATATCAGGGTTAGGCGTACACTGGAATCCTGACTTTACCGGAATTATACACATAAAGATACTGATAATTCATGCTCGGATTTATACAAATGCTGAAATTCCGCGCCTGAAGCACTAGACAGATCCTGAAATCAGGGCATTCAGGATCGTTTTTCTTGAATTTTAGGGCATGTTCTGGCATGAGTGTATGAAGGCACGGATCTTATATATGTAGGAACAAACAAATAAATATGTAATAATAAATAATCATCAGAAATGAATATTTATAGACCCTCACATGGTAATGCACTCATACCGTAATCACCCGGACATAACACCCGCCGAAATTAAAGACCCCCCATGTAGCTTGTGCGGGGTGGGTGTTATAAGCGACCTCGTTTCTATTATACCCCCGTTCTGAGGTGATTTTTTATACCCCCCCCCCCCCCCCCATTTCTTACAGATTCATTATCACAGCTGTTAACGAGTTGGTGCAAGTGCGGGAGGATATCGCGAGAATCTCTCCCTCGATGAAATTTCGCAGTGCTTTCACTTAAAATCTGCTGAGATTTCGCCCCTCCCACGATTTCGCTGTCTCCACGCTGGTGGAGCTTCTGTTGCAAGTGACTAGAGAGGTGCCACATGGCATTTTCGAGGGGGTGATGAAGTTCTCGCCAAAACTTCCATTCGCACCTCAACCTGTGATGTTAAAGCAACCATGGGAACACCCAATTTGTCTCGCTAAAAAAACTCTTACACTAAAATATGCTATATGCTGATATAACCAAAGGTTCGAAGTGGATACGATAAGTCAGCTTAGTCTAGGAGAAGACAATGAAGTCTTAGAAGTGACCTTGTTGATGAAGTTCAAAGAGAACAAGATATTAGAAGATAGAAGTACAATGATATACATAGCAAACTAGCTAGCCATGTACTCTGAGGGGTACATTCCCTTATTAACTGTATTGCATAGCTACAGTAATAACCGCAGCTATTGCTCTACTCGACAGTTACCATGTTGCATCGCGTAACTACCAAGTACGGTTACTGGACGGTCAAGGGTCACGACCGTTGACTGTCTTTGCTGTTGACTGTTGCTCTTCTGACGTGAAGTGCCCATTCATCGTTACTTTCGCATCTTGCAGGAACTCCATCAGGTACAGTCCTTCGCGAACAGCTGCGCTGGCGGCGATGAACTCAGCTTCGGCTGACGAAAGGGCGATGAGTTCCTGCTTCTGAGAGTTCTAAGAGATGAGCCCAGCAGGTTGGAGCTGAAAGATGAATCATGTGCGGGAGCATCTGTTGTCAATGTCTCATGCGTGGTCGGCGTCTACGTAGCCATGGAGCTGTATAGTAGCGGTGAGGATAAATTCGTAGGTGAGTCCGACGTCAGGGGTGGAGACGAAGTATTGCAGTGCTCGGCGTAGATCCAGTAGATTCTCCCCTTCAGGTCGCTTCAGGTACTGTGCGAGCTGGCTTGCGACGTAGGAGAGATCGGGCCACCACGTGACGGGGGCGAACAGGAGGCACCCCAGCTGCTGCTGATAGAGCCGATGATCTTCGATGGAGAGAGGTGTGGAATCCGGGGCGTGATTAGGAGGAGGAGTGCGAAAGGGAGTGGTGAGGTTGATCGGCGCGACGGCGAATTTCTTGTTCGCCAATCGGATACGGGGAGCCCTGTCATGGGAATGCGAAAGTAACTATATTCGTCGTTGATGACCTCGATTTGTTGGGGCCCTTGTTATGGCGATGACGGCTCCTCGGTATGTTCCGGTAATTCCGCTGCTTCCCCGAAGAAATCATAAGTTTCTTCTTCTGACTCCTCTTGGACTGTTTCTGGTGTGTCAAGAGCATAATGATATGAAAGAGGAGGTCCGCCCTAGCTGGTACCGCGACTTGCCCTGTACGGATCGACGACTGAGACGTTCGCAGGTGGAAGTGCTGGAGCTTCGGGATACGTGGGAGCTGGCTGACCCCAACCCCATTCTCCTTCGGTCGCCGAAGTTCCCCAGCCGCCTCCAGTGGTGGTGTCGCCCTCTTCTAGTGTTTGGACAACGCCCCATCCGCCTGAAGCTGCTTCTTCGGGTGTTAGGATTTCTCCCCAAGGGCTGAGTGCAGGACTGGGTTCCCCCCAGCCGGTTCTGGTCGCCGGAGTAGTTGTACTGCCTCCGTTGTCCGGTTTTGCAGGTGCTGATTTGCCGCTATCCTCTTCTTCTTCCATTGATGCAGGTCCGGTGTCGCTTGGATTGGACGTTGAAGCAGCTGGGACGGTGCGGAGTCGTAGGAGACCATCTGAGGCGGGGTGCTCAAGATCCATCTCCTAGGGGTGCGACCAGGTTGGCGGGTCCGTGGGAATTGTCGTCAGAAGAAGTGTTCGGTCAGAGTCGCCTGTGGTGCATTGAGCCGAGAAGTTCAAAACGAAGACCCCATCATCATCATCGGCTTTACCGATGTAAGTGCCCTTATAATAGAGTTTGAAGGTCTTGTCTTCGCAGTTGCTGCGAATTTCGACTCCGCATCTCATGAGTTGTGCTTAAGAGAGAAGGTTGTACTGTAAATCAGGAACAACCAATACGTCTCCGATGTAGATGGTGAAGTGAGTGTCTTTAGCCACAAGGCAAATTTCTCCGATGTCGTAAGCCTTTAGGCGACTGTTGTTGGCGACGGTGATCTCGCAAGGTCGTCGCATGTGCTTTGAGTTGCTAATGAATCTTGGTGAACCCACCATGCGATGAGGTCTCCAGTGTACGATGAGAGATCAATGTACCTCCTTGCGAAATACTGGGAGGAGACTCCGGGGTCGGTGGAGGCAACTCGAAATCAGATGGGATGTTAGTTGGACAATCAATCCAACTCATTATTGTAGGATCGTTGTCTGGACTGGGCGCGATAAAATTGATGGGCGCGATAGGTGGGAATTCTGTGCCGTCGTAGTATCTGATGCCTCTGCGGCGGCGCGCCATGCAGCTCGTGATTGAACCCTTGCCCTTGTCTTTAACTGTGATGCGTGCAAGAGTTTGCGAGGTGCTCGCGACGGAGGGTGGTGACACGGTTGTTGTTGCAGCAGGAGATGTCGAGGGTGCCAAGGGCTGCTGACTGGAGGAGTTGTTGCACCTCCCGTCGGCGGCCTTTCGCTTGTAGCACCGATCGATAGTGTGGCGGGTTTCTTGCAGTATTTGCAGAATGTTTCTTTCTTTACATGCTGCTCCCCTTCAGTCGCTCTAGTGTAGAAGACTAACTTCTCCTACTTGTTGTTTTTCTTGTTGTACATATCGATCTCCTTCTGCTCGGAGAGAAGCGTGGCGCAAATGGCGGACTTGGAAATGGTTGCTCGAGCGCGGAGCAACGACTGGCACTGGCGCCAATTGGATCCGAGATTTGAGAGAACCATCGAGACGAACATGTCGTCGGAGACGGTTCTGCTGCACTTCTAACGTGATCTCGCAGATTGCGGCACCGGTTGACATACGGTCCCGCTTTCTCCCCTTGTTTCATTTTAACCGAAGTCAGTTGGCTGAGCAGGCGACTCATAGTGACTGAATTTGTTGTCATGTATGAGTTGCGCAAGTGCTCCCAAGATGCATACGCAGGTGCCCACTTTGTTTTGTAGGAGCGAATACCAAGCTGCTCGGAGGGGGAGAGGTTTCGGAGAAGAGTGGTGTACGCGAGAAGAGATTCGTGGTAGCATTGATGCTTCTCCTGGATGGTTCCTTCCGATGGAAAAGGTATGCTTCCATCGTAGTACATCCAGATCTGAGCAGATGTTGCGATGAGTTCGAATTCGAAGCTCCACATGTAGAAATCCTTGCCATCAGAAGGAATGAGGTCTTCATCTTTGAAGTCAAAGCAAACTTTGTTTGCAGAGTCACGATTGTTTTTTTATGCACACGTCGTTGGCTTTCTTGTGCAGGAGCTGGAGCTTGACGGTTGTCAAAGGTAAAAGACCTCTCGGAGTTAACGCGACGGTCTTCTCCAGGGAGAGGAAGTCCAGCAGCTCCTCTTGCATATCTTGAGCCATCAATGCTCATAGCTTGATGGCTCTCAGAAGCGTTGATGCGAGCGACTAGCTGCTCGAAGACATCGGCGCTGACGGAGGTCACCGCTGATGGCGCATTAGTCGTTGCTGGTGGTGGGCCCGGAGAGTCTGCAGTGGCTTTTCCTTCAGGAGCCATAGTGATGCAGACTTGTAATGTATTGAGTGATTTTATAAAGAGTTTGTTCTGAGAAGAACTGAGACTTGACAGGCCTTAGAATCCACTCTATCTCTCATACCGTGCTGATATGACCAAAGGATCGAAGTGGATACGGTAAGTCTGCTTAGTTTAGGAGAAGACAATGAAGTCTTAGAAGTGACCTTATTGATGAAGTTGAAAGGGAACAAGATAAATTATAACATAGATGTACAAAGATATAAATAGCAAACTAGCTAGCCATGTACTCTGAGGGGTACATTCCCTTATTAACTGTATTGCATAGCTACAGTAGCCGCGGCTATTGCTCGACTCGACAGTTACCATGTTGCATTGCGTAACTTCCAAGTACGGTTACTGGATGGTCAAGGGTCACGACCGTTGACTGTCTTTGACTGTTAACCATCGGGTGACTCTCGATCTTCCGCATGCTCTATATGAGCTATTGCGGTACTGGTACAGACGCGTTGCTTTGATTTTTTTTTTTTTTTTTTTTTTTGCTTCTATGAATTATACACCAGAACAAAAGTGCACAATGTATAAACAGTCGTAACTGTGCATGAGAGACGAGGGGTCCCGCCTCAGAATATTCGATCCTCAGACATGGATCCGGGACCTGCGTGGTTTGCCCCAAACTGCCGCGAAGCTGTTGGACCACTTCCAACCTTTGCCATCCACCACTCTGATGCGATTCAGAAGGTCACGCTCCGTCATTTTCTGCCACCTGGCGTGCTGCCCTTTCCCATGCTGCTGCATCCTTGCCGCTGAGGCACGTACATAAACATTCACATGCATGCGAAAAGCTGACTCGATCCTCCGTAAAACCCTCCGCGTGCAGAATTTGCAGCCTCTGAAGGCCCTTTCGCACCTCTCCGTCCATAGCTGATGGAGGGCAATTGCTACCAACGATGCCTCTGGAAATGCTGACAAGGATCCCGCCTTGCCGAATAGCCAATCACCGAGCGTGTCACCTTTCCTGGCTGGGTTGATCATCCTTAAGGCTTTTTTAACCGCTGAGACCACCCCCTGAGTTTTCGGGCACTCCAAGAGGCAGTGTTCCAGAGTTTCAAAACCACCGCAATGAGGGCAGACCGGTTTGCTGCTGAGAAACTCCAGTCTCTCCCCGACTTGTAGGTTGAGGCAGTGAATTCACAGCATCACATCTCTTAGTCGACTCGGGGTAACAAGTGATTCGCGAATTTGTACCACCCGCTTCTAATCAATGCTGCCACCCCACCGGCTTGCCCACTTCTCCCGCCTAGACTTCCCGCTGTTGCCATGTCTCCAGTGTTTCCTGAGCTACCGCAGTGGTACTGCTTTCCCCTCCGCCAACAGTTTTGCCCGTAGCTGCAACTGGCCTCTTCTTCCTACCTCAAACTCCTCCGCAAACCTCACGTTCGGAAGCTCGGCAGAGAGGAGCTGCTTCCTCCATGATTCTGGCGCTGCTGCGAAAGCTTTGAGCGCAAGGTTTGCTGAATCCTTACCCCGCAACTCTCTCTCCAGGGCTTCAAGACTTTTCAGCAACCCTTTCTCCCGCGTCTCTCCCAACAAGGTCGCCTAGCCTGACATCAAGAAGCCGCTTCGCTGCTTTCTGCACCCCCCACCGGCGTGGTACCCTTCAGGAGGATGCGTCTGTTGAACGTAATCCTTTCCAGCATCAGCTCCTTCGTCTCGCGCTCTTCCGTAGACTCCGCCAGCGGAGAACGCATGAAATTCGCACATGTCAGTTTCCATCGCTGACTCTTCCCCTCCCATGATTTCAGTATCTTTTCATGCGCCATGAACGTCTCCAGTCCCTGTGGCAGGTCGGCTGCCTGGCGCATCAGTTCTCGCTTGAACTGATCCGTCTCCGTAAGTATCAGCCTGATCCTCCTGGCAGTTAGGCAGGTAAGCATCATTTTCGGATTCTTCGCTCCCACTCCACCTTCCAGCACCGGTGTGAACAAGAGCTTCTTGCTCCAGAGGTGAAAGCATTTTTCTGATGTGACCTTGTTGGCTGACATGAAGTTGTGCGTCATTTTAGTGATCACCCCCCAGGTCTGCGCAGGCGGTGGGTAGACCCGAGCTTGGGACCACACGATCGGCAATATGTAACCGTCCATCATCGTCGTTCGAGCCTTAATTGGGAGGTATTGCGGCTGCCACAGCGACATCTTCCCGGCTATTTTCTATGGCGCTTTATCCCACGTCGGCTGACAACTTCCGCTCGGCGTGATCCAAACCCCGATGAGTCTCTCTGCTTCGTTTGCGTCAGCCCAACGAAACCCGTCAGAGCGCCAAGTCTTCTTTCCCAGGTTAGCCCCCAATGGCATCACCACCGATTCTTCCTTATTCGTCTCCAGGCCAGAGATGCTCTTGAACTCCTCTAACATCTCCTCCGCTCTTCTAATTTGTTGTTTCCCGTGCAGCAGGAGGGTTGTGTCATCCGCATAGCCGATGTAGGCCATCCCCTAACCAACACAACTGGTGAGGGAGATCCCTATTTTTCGCTTCATCACCTTCTGCGCCAATGGTTCCACCGCACAGAGAAAGAGGTAAGGTGCTAAGGGGCAACCTTGCCGCACCCCCGAGACCACTTCCACCACATCACCCAGCCAGCCGTTGATTAAGAAACTTGTTCTCGTGTTGGTATGCAGGCCCTTCACCCAGCCAACGTATCGGGCCGGGAAACCCATTTTCTCCATCACTTCGAAAATGAAGTTCCGTGACACCGAGCCGAACGTTTTTTTGAAATCAACAAGCAGCATGAACCAGTCCTCCTTCCCATTCTTGGCTGCATCAATGATGTCAGCAACCAGCCCCACCTCGTCTGATATTCTCCTTCCCGGGATGAAACCAAACTGCTCCCGTGAGATCACCTTATGAAGGACCTTTTTAATCCTGCTCACCAAGACCCACGCCAGAATTTTGTAGCCGATGTTCAGTAATGTAATAGGGCGGTAGTTCTCTAACTGCTCTTTCACCCCCTTCTTGTGCAGGAGGAGCGTCACCGCATCTTTGACACTGGTCGGGAGCAAAGAAGTGAGGGTGAAGTCCTGTACCAGTCCCATGACGTGTTTCCCGAGCGTATCCCAGTGCAGCTCGAAAATCTCCTTTGGTAACCCGTCTTTCCCTGCCGTTTTGTTACACGACATTTCTTTTAACGCCTGCTTCACTTCTTTCTCCGTCCACTCCTCTTGCAGATTTTGAATATCAGTGTACGTCAGCTGCTTCCCCGCAGCCGGACTCCTGTCCGAGATTGCTGTGCGCTTATCCTCCCCAAAGAGGCTGCGGAAGTACTCCGACGCTTCTTCCAGGATTCGCTTCAGTTCTAACACCATTTCTCCTGAAACCGCTACCTCCACTATTTGAGTTCTTGTTTTCCGCGTCTTCATCATCGCCGACAAATGCGGAGATGGGACTTCTCCCGATAACGCCAGCTCCATCCCAGCCATGATATGCGTTCTCTCCCTCCGGCACGCAAGATACTCCTTGAGCTGCTGCTCTCGCTTCTACAACTGCTCTTTCAGCACTTGATCCTTCGGGTTCCACATGAACTCTTGCCTCAATGCAGCTACTGCCGTGGTGAGGTGAGCAATGGTTGCCCGTATCCTTTTACTCTCTTCCTTAGCGTATGACCGCAGACTGGTGTTCAGACGAGAAATGAGGGTCGTGAAACTCCCCCCGTTCTGTGTGACCAAACACTTCGCTTCCTCGATCTTTTTCTTAGCCCCCGGTCCGCCCAACAGAGAAGGGTGAAAGCGCCAAATCCCCGGCCCCAACTTCAACTGCGAATTGAGCTTAAAAGCCACGCGGATGGCGAAGCCATGATCAGAGACGGGCTCATCTGGCAAGACATGTTCAGCTGTCACCAGGCGCGGAAGTAAGGTTTGAGAGACCAACGCTCGATCAATCCGTGAGCTCTCCTGGTGTGCCTGTGAGAAAAAGGTAAACTCTTTTTCACTCGGGTTAAGGGAACGAAAAGCGTCTGAAATAAAAAGCTTTGCAGTGGTGGTAGAGGAAGTCATTCTCTCTGGTTGATCCGTGTCTAGAGGTCTTATCAAGCAGTGGGTTTTCAATGGTATTAAGATCTTCCAGGATGAGCAGGTGAGTGCCTGGCTGGATGAGACTAAGGAGTGGTCCAAGTACGATTCTGATGAACGCTCTTTTTTCGGCTTTGTCTGCAGGAAGATAAGTCGCTATCAAGGTGAGGTGAAGGTTAGAACAGTGGATTTCAGTCTTAATCAGTCTACCTGAGGGGTGAGCTAAGGGGTTGTGAAAGGATAAGTCCGTTCGCTGGATCAGAACTGCTACTCCTCCGGCTCGGGTCACGGACGTAGTGGCTATGAAGGAAGGCAAGTTGAGAGATGACCAGTAAGGATTGTCTGCTGCTATTCGGGTATCTGATAAAACCATGATATTAGCTACTTTCTTGCTGTTGATCTAGGCCGATGTTTGTTTTCGTTTCGTGAAATCTCCCAAGCCGTTGACATTCAGGCCCGCAAACGATAGACTGTTCCGTGTATTCATTTAATAACTCCTTGTTTGCCTCTACGCATCCACAGGCAGGTAAGACAAAACACAGCAGCTAACGCCGAACCGACTATTATCACCATGGTAAGCTTCTCTCGGACTATTAAATTCCGTACTCCTTGCAAACCGAATGCAGATTTTCCTTCTCCCTTGTCAAACGGGTAACAGCACCGAGCTCTCCCTGACCGTGCAAATGACGTGCGGAAGTAATGTGCTCTGCAGCAGCAACAAACAGCTTCCCATGTGCTTTTCCGCAGCAGGTCTGTGTGCAGATCCACTCCTCCCTGGAGCTCCCAGTGGAAATCAGAACAATCGCAAGGTCGAACAGGATCGGGCGAACCAGGCGAGATGCGGTCAGCAAAGCTGTTGCGACAAGTGGCCAGATGGTTAGTTTCTGGATGAGAGGTAAGATAAGCAGGATCATGGAAACGAGCTGCTGCACTGTTACCGTTGATCCTATGCACACGACCTAAGCTCAAGCTCCATTTCCCTATGCTATGCTGTCGGTCAGTGGTGAAGGCATCATGATACTTATCATAATGCAGACCCCCACAGAGCCGACAAGAGAGCATAGGGTAATGAACCAGGAGCATCTTGCCCTTCTCCTGCGGGTGGTTGACTTGGTGGATTCAGCGCCTTTTCTTATCCTCCGGATGCGGTACTACCAGCCCTTTGATAACCCCTGTGTTAGCTCCAGATACTGGATGTACAACCCGATGGAAGCAGTGACTTGCCGAACTTTCAGCTTATACTTCACCAGCATCTCCTCAACAGCTTCTGGCGTGATGCTCGCAGGTATGTCCTTACAAACCACTTCAATGACTCACGTGTTAGTAGCCTTCTCTTGCACAAAGGCTGCGTTTTCGGTGTGAAGCCAGTGTAACGGGTACGACGTTCCGTTCGGCTTCTGATATTCCAGAGCAGCTTGCCGCACTTTTGTAGCATCTTCTTCTTTTTGAAATGATAGCTGAAGGCGACTGTACTTGGTCTTTGCGACATATGCAGGGTGGATGTCCTGAAAGTCAACCGATGTATTAGCGCCATCAGAGAGCAAAGAAGACCAAACACGTTTCAGCAGTATCTGCACGGTGATGATGACCGAGGCCATTTCTTGCTGCAGAACAAGAGGCAGGAGCAGGATAGCCGTATAGCGAAGCTTCGCGACGGAGTCCTTGGATATCTCAAACTCCAGCTCAGTGTCCGAGTCATCATCCGTGAATTCGTCTTCATTGTCATTATCATGCGCGGAGGTAAGTGCAGCAAGCTTTTCCTCCAAAGATAAACCCGAGCTTCCTGCTACTGGAGTAACCGGCTCATTTTCCTCCACTTGTTTCCCCTCATCTTCAGGCCCTGAAGCAACATCAGTGACGGCAGCACGCTTCGGCAGCAGCGGCGCACGTTCCTTGGGAGAAGGACACGCCATAGGGCAATGATGAGTAAAAACCAGCAGCAGTTGATTTGCAGAGGCCAGAAATGCATGAGATGCTGGATGTCTGAGCCCAGTATAATATAGTCGCGATGTCCCTCCATCAGACCAATATTCTTGGTGTTGGTGCTGAGTTGTCGCTGATCAAACCTGGGGGTGATCGTCAGTACTGTCATACCCCGGATATAAGCGCCACCCTCGGATAAGCGCCTGGCGCTTTTAATTGGCGTGTGGCGCTTATATCCGCTGCTCGATTATAAGCGCACCCCCTGAAAAAACTTGTTTTATTATAAGCGCACGTAAACTTTAAATTTTGAAATGTGTTCAAAACGCTGTAACGATTTTTACTTTAGCAGGCGGATGTGTTGCAGATTCGGTTCCCTTCACATTCGGACCCTGCACTGGATGCGGGTCCAGTCAGCAGGAGCTGTCAGGAGCTGGATGTGAGTCAGATTGAGTGTATCTCCCAGCGCGCGCGAGAATTTCACAGACGACCCCATGTAACTTCGACTCGATTGAAAAGGCAAGCACGAGATCTACAGTTTGGTAGTAAAAAATATAAAAGATTTATATATGTCATTTTATAAACGCCGGCGCTTATAAATTTACTCGATTTTTAGCCCACCCCCTAAAAAAAAATGTTCTATTATTGCCCCCCATGGAGGTATATCCGGGGTATGACGGTAGCCTTGAGAACGCCATGAAATAAGAATAGCCAATCACGACTTTGCTGTGAGAGCCCTTGTAAAGCGCAATGGATTGATGTCAGGATATCAGATGATGAAGCCTTGAAATTGTATGGCTGTAAGAAACTGAACAGCAGATCCCAAGAAGCTCTTGATACGATGTTCGCCCGATGAACATTATAAGTGTACCAATCGATTCGTCGCGATAAGGCGAGTACAAAGCTGTGGTTCTTTGAGCCAACTGGTAACTCTGCTTCACGGAATGCTGGGTTGAAGACCCTGAAGAAATCCATGGCGGCGAGCTCTAGGTTCATTGAGCTTTGTTTGTAGGTGCCAATTCATAGAGATGAGGCTCCGCGCATGCTTTGTTATGGAGTGACGCGTGGGTGGAGAGCCTTCGGGAATGTTATGATAACCTTTCGGTTATTCCAACACCATATATATCCACGCGGGTATAATGGAGCTTTTCCCTATGAGAAGAACCCAACCCCCCCCCCCCCCCCCCCCCCCCCCCCCCCCCCTGTTTTTTTCCCCGTATTTTGGTAACACCCTAGGGTGTTATGTCCGGGTGATTACGGTAGTACAGATTAACACAGGCAGGGCGCAATGCGATTTCAACCCTTGAAGTGCACCCACCCACAGGCCTCTGGATAGGATTTGGGGCACTCTTACTCGTAAGGCCAGTTCGCTGAAGTCGGTCTTTCAGTAAGGGTGGGTTAGGCATGTCAGTCTGTTTTATCAGTGTCAGCTGGAAATGTACTCTTGCTCATCAGTGTGCACATTGTTTTCACCCTTTCATATTTAGATGAAAGCGTAGATTACATATAAAAGAATGCACAACTAACAGAGCAACTAGAGCACCAGCGCCTGGTTCTAACAGAATAAGCTTAGTAGTGAGCACACAAGCCAATACCGTATAGGAACTCATGAGCAGGGCGGCGCTTCTTGTTATCATTGAACATTGCTAGCTACCGTATGCATGAGCCCTGCGAGTGAAACTCAACTTAGGTTGCCGCCACTTCTGACGTGCCGAACCGGAACCAGATTTCAGCTACTTCTCGGCGGCAGAGTCGTCAGCAGCAGCGGTATTCTCCGTTACATGTGTGGTCGCTTTTCGTGGTGCTAGTTCAGGCGTCGTGGTGCAGGTCACACCCCGCTTCATCCAGCGCGGTCTCAGCCTCAATAGAGGCGACGACGGGCTCTGGTTCAAGCAGCCGCTTAGTAGGCCCTGTTAAAAAGCTAAGGCCCGTTCGTGAGGGTGAGTGCTGGACCTGACCACGTGCCTCGTTGTCATCTTCACCGCTGGCGTCAACAGCCATGACGTGGGACTTGGAGGTAGATGCTGGAGCTATGCCTATGATAGCAGTAGGAAGGCGTGGTGTGCAAACCTTAGATGAGACCACGAGGAGGAAAACTAGATGAATGAAATGAACTGACTGGGTTGGGGTTGGGTGAGAGTGGCTGGTCAGTGGGTAGGGGTTTGGTGGAGAGGAAGGGACCAAGCAGGACTCTCATCCACGATGGACACCTATGTGGCGCTGCGCATCACCGCCAGGTTGGCAAAATGCAAGTGATACGGGTACAGTTGGCGGGATTGTGGCTGTGGCGACGCGCAACTCTGGTGACTGGGACAAATCACTACTAATCGCGGCAGGAATCACGTCGGTGAACCAACCCCCCACCCACCCTCCCTCCCCCCCCCCGAAAAATTCGCATCAGGGTGGTACCCAACACTACTCGTTGTCATCAGGGCGAGTACACCAGGTCGGTCTGAAATATCAGTGTTACACAGAAAAACACTTTTTCTTCTAAGGGCGCCCTAAAATACGACTCTGTAAAATAAGGGTGAGCACCTAAACCCACCCTTATAGTAAGGGCTATAAGGGTGATTCACCCTGATATCTAGAGGCCAGCCCACCCAGTGCTCTCAAACAGCAATGTGTGAGATTGTGATCACGTGCGGGCCTGCAGCCATGTATTAGGAAGATTTCGGTTTTATCATGCTTTTCATTCGAGACATGACCATCGTTTTGATTTTTTAACACTCAATATATTCTTGAAACACCTTCAGCTGCATATTACTAGTATGAGTCTGGTATTATCATGCTTTTCAGACATGACCAGAGTATTGCCGTCGATTGTTGATATTCTGACACTCAATGCATCTGGGAACACGTGCAATAGGGCCAAAGTATGCAGTGATAGCTTTGAACTTCCCGTTCAAAAAATTCCGCTCTACCTGTGGAACATTGAAAGAAGTTGAAACAAGAATGTCAAACAGATATTAGGGACCTCAGATCTTTGTGTTCTAACGAGCACATATCAGCAGCACTGTAGCAAGTTGCAGCATGAGTCTCGAGTCACAAGTGACGCACCAGGCAGGGACCAGAAGGCGTGATGGAGCGAGCGAGATGCGCCAAGTGGTGCAAGGGAGTGTTGCGAGGCAGGTACATGGCCACTGAGGGGGCGATGCTCAGCGATAGATGCAGCAGGGCAGAGCTGGGGAGGGGAAGGAACAAGGGAGACAAAGGTGGTATAGGGGGTGGAGTGGCGCCAAGTGGCAGATAGGGGTGTTGCGAGGCAGGTGCATGGCCACTGATGGGGCGATGCTCAGTGCCAGCTGCAGCATCGCAGAGGAGGGGTGGGGGTGTGAGGGGGAGAGAGGGGGAGGAGCAAAACAGGAGACAAAGGTGGTATAGGGTGTCGAGTGGTGCCAAAGTGGCAGATGGGAGTGTTGCGAGGCAGGTGCATGGCCACTGATGGGATGATGCTCAGTGACAGCTGCAGCAGGGCAGAGCTGGGGGAACGGGAAGCAGCACAGGAGACAAAGTTGCTATCGAAGGTGATGTAGTGTGTTGTAACCCTGATTTGATGCAGTTTTGTGGACTTGCAAAACAGCGTGCAAGTAGTGCGGTCTCCGGTGCCATAACTGAGGGAAGCAGGAAAGGCAATGGAAGCAAGGGTGCTGTGGACGGTGGAGAGAGGGCGAGTCAGCAAGCATGAGGCCATGGATCGAGAAGTTCCAAATTCCACTCAACACCATGACAACAAAATGAGAAGTTTCGAAAGGGACACTTGATCGTGGAGGGTATGTAAAGGGCACTCAAGGGCGGCACATACGCGCTGACTGGCTGCAGCATGCTCCATATGTTGTACTCTGATTGGTCGAGATACTCCGGGCCGCCCCATGGGGGGGACAGGAAGACCACATCAGCCTGCCCTGCAGAAAGCAAAGGGAAAGGCACGGGTGGGAGCATGACGGCATGGCGGCACGGAGGCATGCCGCATGGGGGCTGTGGGCATGGCGGCATGAACCATATCAGCCATCCGTTCAGGCCAACGAGTGAAATGCGAAACGGCAGAGGCAGGACATATGGCAGCACAGAGACATGATGCGGCGTGGGGGGAAATACGGTGGACGGTACATCAAATGGATGTGACATGGGTATGGGTGGCCACATGAATGTCAGGGCAGGGCATGGGTATGGGTAGGGATGAGCATGAGGGCGGGCCAGGGCCCGCCTGGGTCGGGCCCGCCCGGAAATTCCCCGGGCCGGGCTTCGAAATTTCGTCGAGGGCCCGGGGCGGGCCGGGCCGGGCCCGCCCGCCGGGCCGCGACCGCCCGCTTTTGGCCCGCCCATGTACGGGCCGGGCCGGGCCGTGGTAAGCCGAAGTGCGGCCCGGGTCGGGCCATCTCGGCCCGGTTTTTACCCCCGCGTCAAAATGTTAGCTGCACAGCATTTGTGCAGTTTGATTTCTATCTAAGCTAGCTCGTAACCCCTCCCAGCCCTTAGCGCTCTGCATTTCGACTAGCCTACGCCAACTTTAGTAGTAGGTTTACATAGTCCCTTAAGTAGGTCGAAACACTCTCGCCCATGGGCTCTAAGGGCTTCGTGACATTGGCGCGACAGGTTGACGGATGATTTCCTACACCGCAAAACCAGCAGACGTTTGGTCCTTCTTTTAGGGTTACACTATTTATCTTACTTTTCATTGCGCCGCAAATACTTCTACGGTTAGCCTTATTCTACGGTTTAGCCATTAGAGCTTTTCGCCCGACGTTAGGTATCTATTAGGGTTACTATTTCCAGGACAGCCTAAAAATCCGAAATACCACTACCCATTTCCGTGGTCTAAGTTATAAAATCCTACCGTCGGTTTAAACATATGGCGCCTAAGAAAAACGTACAGCACAAGGGCGCGAAGAATATTAAGCGCGAGGGCGGTAAAATATTTTCCGCTATAGGGACCGCGCCCATTGTGCTCCCTTCAAACGATGACGGTTTCAACGCACACGGAGAGTTGCGACAGGTGGTCGGCGTTGTCGGCAAAGAGCGGGAACTCGAGGCGGTTAGCGAAGAGGAAGAAGAAGCCTCCTCCTCTTCTTCCTCTAGCAGTGACACGTCGGATGATGGGAGTGAGTCGGAATACGAGGATGATGAGGAGGATGGCGGTAGTGAGGACGAGGATATGGCGGATCTTGAGCCTGAGTCATCCAAGGGCGCTTCGAAGAAAAAGAGGGAACGTGCGAAAGGGGGAAATAGTAAGAAGAAGGGTAAAGGGAGGGCGGCGGCCAAGGAGGTGGGTGGAGTTCAAGAGGGGCGGGTGGGGAAGAAGCGTAAAGGGAAGAGGAGGAGTACAAAGCCGCGGTGGGTTAAGTACACAGTGGTTAAGATGTTTGGGGAGCTGGCGGCCGACGAGACGCGCAAGGGCAAGTGTTGCCACAAACGAATCTCCTTCAAGGATAGCAGCACACGGTCCGGCGGGCGGCACTACGAGGGGAAGCATAACGCCCACTACGCCATTTGGAAGCGGATGTACGAGGGGCTTCCTTGCCATCCCAGCTTCCTCAGCTGCTAGCGAGCGCGTGTTCTCGGCGAGCAGGAACCTGATCACCTGGCAGCGCCATCGGTTGAGCGCGGACAGGATTTGTGATTCCATGACTCTGCGCTCCTTCTACGCGAGTCATCCAGGGGTTCTGCTAGAGGAGGCTGCAGGGCGTGTGACAGGAGGACTTCAGCCAGCCGTTGATCTTGGGGTGGAGGGCATGGGGCCGGAAAACATGTAGATTGCTATTTGTTCGGGGTCATTTAATCTTGCAAACAATGCTTAAACCTTGGTAGGAAACCCCATTTGCTTACTCTAAATCTACTCAGTCTATCAATTATCTCTGCAGCAGGGCCGGGCCTGCCCGGCCCGGGTCGGGCTATATGGAGCCCGGGTCGGGCTATATGGAGCCCGGGTCGGGCCGGGCTCGGCCCGCCCGCCTTCAGGCCGGGCTCGGGCCGAGTGTTTCCCTAAACGGCCCGGGTCGGGCCGGGCCAGCCCGGCCCGGGTTTTTACGCCGCCCGGGGTGGGCCCGACCTGGGCCGGGCCCGGCCCGCCCGGTGCTCAACCCTAGGTATGGGTGGCCTCATGGATGTCAGGGCATGAGAATGTGTGGCCTCATAGGCCAGTGCCGAGCAGCTGCACATCGTGAAGATGGCATCGGAATGTTTAGGACTGTTGTGCGAAAGAGCCATGGATGTTTAGGACTGTTGTGCGAAAGAGAGGAAGTCGGTGAAAACCTCAAGGCTCCTCATGAGTGTTCCCATACCTCATGCGTGCAGCCCCTCACCTTAAGCCGTGGTGCAATGCTGAGGAATTCGGCGCAGAGCGCATCCACTCGGTGGGGCAGGTGGGGACCGTAGACGCTGAGGTTGTGGTGCAGCACGGCCAGCCGGGGCAGGCTCATGTCTACCGCCAGCACGCGGGGGCAGCTGGGAGGGAACGAGGGGTTCAATTCAAGGTTGGGGGTGCGGAGTAGAGAGATACAGGGGCAGATGTGCAGGCACAGCCTCACAGGGGGTGAAGATGTGCAGGCACAGCCTCACAGGGGCAGGCGAGGCTGTGGTGCAGCATGGGCAGGCGAGGCTCGCTCATGCCAATGGCCAGTACGTGGGAAGAGTTGGAAGAATGAGGACGTGGGGAAGGGGGAACGGGAAGTGAGAGAGGGTGCGATGTGGAGGCAAATGCTGTTATTGGGCATGGACGTATACAAGCAAGGAAGATTGTGCGAGGTACATGATCGTGCTCGCCTTTGAGTCAACACACAAGCAATGTGGAAACGAATGTTGTGGCATGGACGTATACAAGCAAGGAAGATTTGTTAGCTGCATGGTCGTGCTCACCCGCGTCTCACACGATCCATCCCCCACTGGGCTGTCAACCCAACCTAAAAGCCCTCCCCACAGAATCCATCCCTCACCACCCCTCATTCACTCTCATAGGCCGTCCCCCCTCGCCACAGGTTGGTTCCTGGGCCATATAGAAGGGAATATGATGCTGCCACACATGCTCCTGCCACGTGTGCTGCTGGATATGGGATTACTGGATGGTCGTATACCAGTGGGCATTCAACAAGCCCTCTAGAAGCGCAAACAGCCCTTAGCATTGGACTCACAGCTTGGCCAGGTGGATGGTGTTGCCGCCCACCCCACAGAAGGCGTCCACCACCACGCCTGCTGCACCCACCACGCCTTCAACACCCACCACCCCTGCTGCATCCCTCGTGCCTGCTACGCGCTCACAACTCTCGCGTTTTTCACTCCCACACCTCCCTTCGTCCAGCGAGCCACCTCTTGGTAACTATTCTCCTCCCTGTCTGCCCATCGCCTCACGTTTCCACTTCACCTTTCTCTCCTCTCCTTCTTTCCCCTCCTCCCCCGCTTCCTCTCGAACATCTTCCTCTGAACTTAGCGATGCAGTGTGGCAAGCATACGTGACAGCAGCACACGTGGCAGGAGCATACCTGGCAGCAGCACACGTGGCAGGAGCATACGTTGCAGCAGCACACGTGGCAGGAGCATGCGTGGCAGCACCAATAGCTTCACCATTTCCTGCCGGCGTACCAGCACCACCGCCCACTGCTGACGTTGCAGCATCACCCCCTGCACACGTGGCATCATCACCACAATCCATGGCAGCAGCGCACATGGCAGCGTGGTGGGTGGCGATGGCCTCAGGAGTGACAAGGGGCCACGCGTCAGCATCCAATAGGACGCCCTCGTCGAACCGTGAGAACAGACCGTACCGCTGCTGCCAGTACTTCTCATACCCCGCTGCTACAGCCTCCACTGCTACAGCCTCTGCTGCTACAGCCTGCTCTGTTACCACCTCCTCCACTACAGCCTGCTCCAATATGACCTGCTCCGCTTCTGCCTGTGCGGAAGCTCCCTCTGCAGATACAGCCTGCTCTGCTACAGCCTGCTCTGCTACAGCCTGCTCTGCTACAGCCTGCTCTGCTACAGCCTGCTCTGCTACAGTCTGCTGTGCTACAGCCTGTTCAGGCGTCCATCCCACCCAGCACGCAAGCCCACTCCCCTCGCCATGGACTGGCGGGTGCCACTGGGTGATGGCGGCTGCAGCATTGCAGAAGTACACGCCGTGGGAGAGCGGCTCCCACACCGCCTGCCATGCACCCTCCTCCGCCACCACGAATAAATCCCCCTCCGCCTGCCCTTCCATCGCCTGCTCTCCCGCTGTCTGCCCATCCAGTATTTGCTCTCCCCCAATCTGGTCTTCCCCCATCTCGTCTACTTCTGCAACTGCAGAAACCCATGCTGTTGCCTCCATGCCACCCTCCATTGCCTCTGCACCGTTCCCCACCACTGCCATTCCTGCAGCACTCTCCGCTGCTGCCCCTGTGAGAGCCCTTCTCACTGCATCTGCAGCAACCTGCCTTGCTGCATCCGCACCACTCTCCACTGCTGTCGCTGCACCCACCCCTGCCACGTCCTCTGCACCACCCTCTGCCCCTGCATCTGAAGCGCCTTCTGCCGTTGCCTGTCCATCGCCCCTCCTTCTCCCCCGCCTCTTCTTCTTCCCTCTACGAGCCCCACCAGAACCATCACTGCCACCACCACCTCCACCGCCCTGCTGCTGCACCACAGAAAGAAACGAATACAAACAGTGGGCGTGAGACGAAGTTCGAGCAGAGACGTCAGAATAACATCTAATCGACATGCATGTCCAAACACCGCACGCATGGTTGGGTGGGATGGCGGGACCAGTCAGTGGAGTGGGCTGGACCGTGCAGTCAAGAAACGAGGGGCATTGCACTGGAAAGGGATGCAGATGCAAAAAGAGTACCGCGGAGTAGAGTAAGGCAAAGGGGACTACGGGGGAAGCACCAAGAAGTGGGAGCAATTGCATCAGCAACGCTCGCGCGCGTTCTCCACAGCATCTCGTGCTGCCTATTGTGGATTGTAAAAAGCATCTCGTGCACGTGCCGTGCTGTTTGCATGGTCTGGTAACTCCGTGCTGTTTGCATGGTCTGGTAACTCCGTGCTGTTTGCATGGTCTGGTAACTCCGTGCTGTTTGCATGGTCTGGTAACTCCGTGCTGTTTGCATGGTCTGGTAACTCCGTGCTGTTTGCATGGTCTGGTAACTCCGTGCTGTTTGCATGGTCTGGTAACTGCACCTGCCAGCCAAGAGCAGCAACGGTGCCTGCCAGCTTTGCCTCCATTGCTGCTAATTCCGCACTCACCTTTAATTCCTCTGCTGCTGCCTGCACAGCCCGCGCTCCTCCACGGAACTGCACTGGCAGGCCGAGAGCAGCCATGGCGCCTGCCAGCTCCTCATCCTCACCTTCCACCCACCCGTTGCTTCCCAAACCCCCCTCCCCGCCCCCTTCAGCCCTCCCGTCTCTTCCGCCTTCTCCCACTGCCGAAGCACATGACGTGCGCCCCTCGCCTCCCCTCCACGGCACCACCTGCACCTTGCTGCACTGCAGCTCGTTGCATGCGGGCCGACGCCTGGCACGGCCGTCACTGCGAGACGAGAGGAGGGAAGTATGGAGAACGGGAACGGGGGAGCGGGGAGGGGGAATAGAGGGGAGGGTTATGGGAGAGTGAGGGGGTACTTAGAGGTATGAAAAAGGGAGGGGGGAGGGAATAGCAAGGGATATCTTTGCGTGGTCTCCACCCCCCCACCTGCCCCTCGCCTGCCCTCTACGGCACCACATGCACCTTGCTGCACTGCAGCTCGTTGCATTCTACAGGGCGCTTAATTGTCATGTCACTGCGAGAGAACAGGGGGAATTAGGGTTATCTTTGCGTGGTCTCCACCCCCCACCTGCCTGCCCCTCGCCTCCCCTCCACGGCACCACCTGCACCATGCTGCACTGCAGCTCGTTGCATTCGACAGGGCGCTTTACTGTCATGTCAGTGCGAGAGAACAGGGGGGATTGGGGATTGAGGGGGGCGGGTGGGGAAAGGGGATGGGGGAAGGCGGATGGTGGAAAGCGGATGGGGTAGCGGATGGAAGATGGCGGACGGGGGAAGGCGGACGGGGGAAGGCGGATTGGGGAAGGCGAACGGGGGAAGGCGGATTGGGGAAGGCGGACGGGGGAAGGCGGATGGGGGGAGGCGGATGGAAGAAGGCGGACGGAGGAAGGCGGAATGGGGAAGGCGGATGGGGGGAGGCGGATGGAAGAAGGCGGACGGAGGAAGGCGGACCGGGGATGGCGGACAGGGAAAGGAGGACGGGAGAAGGCGGACGGCGATGGCGGACGGGGGAAGGCGGACGGGGGAAGGCGGACGGGGGATGGTGATGGCGGATGGGGATGGCGGATGGGGATGGCGGATGGGGATGGCGGATGCAGGAAGGAGGGTGCGGGGAGAGGGGGGAGGGGGGTAGTAAAGGCGTGCGCGGAAAGGGGGGTAGTAGTGCTGCGAGAGGAACGCGGCTCGTTAGCGTAACACTCACTATAAGAAAACGTTGACGACAGCGAAGCTCCACTGCGATTGGCCCGCCGCTTCTTGTGGGTCCAATGATGGGGTGAGCGGCGGGCTTTCCGTTAATGTGCATGGTTCGACCATCCCTGAAGGCGAGCACCAGGTTCACAGAAAGAAGCGGCTTGTGCAGCTCCGACCGAATTTGCAAGTATGAGGCTGCTCACGAGAGTGAAGCGAGGAAGCGAGAGGCGCGACTCGCCAGGTTTGGTAATCTACCCGTTATAAGGTACCCTTACATTGGATATTTTTAAAAAAGAAGGGAAACTTACGAGAGGATATGTAGTTGGTTACTGCATTTCTTGTTATATCTTCCGAATATAGATATTACAACAATGTATTTTTATGGGGCTTTTTATGGGTGTTGCGTTTGAGTTGTTTCTGGTGTCTTTCTTTCCCTTTTCCTTCTCCCTCTTTCCCTTTTCCTCTTTCAAAAGCGTGAAGCCAGTTTCTGGGACTTAATACTGATATCGTATGTGAAGTACATGGAATTTATACCCCTGTTATATAACTAAATTTTCATCGCTAATAATGCTTTATACATATTATGTAGATTCAGATCATTACAACGAGGTTTATGTGGAATTTTTTGTTCATGTAGGGTTCTATGTATGAGCCTTAAACACCATTGCGAAGTCACTTGGTGGTTAGCCACCAATGGTTATTCTCTTGGCAGAAACACTACTTCCCTTTTGGCTCAAGGCGACTCCACCTCAGTGCATACAATACAAGTTCCCCACCAGCAGTTCTGGCAGTCCCTGTACAAGTCCCTCTCGCCTTTCTGCTCCTCGTAACTGCTTGTTTGATGGTTCCAGGCTAGTGTGCTTCTGCGTTCGTGTGTCAAGGACAGGGGCGTCCGTTGCTGCATAGGGAGCAGTCTAACGGACGGGAAAAGACGGTGAACCTGGCCATTCGTATCTGTTCCTTGCCTAACATAGTTGTCTGTCCCAATAAATTGTTTCAGCGTGCATCTTACCGCTCTCTGCGATTGCATCTCACATTGTTGTCTGTGTGGCTCGTCGTTAGCGTCGCAGATCACGCTTGCCTTCTGAGGCGTTTCAAAGGTCACGCTTGCCTGATCTTCAGCGATGTCTACTGACTCCGCCAATTTGGAATCGATTCCATTGCGCTTTCCGTCCCCTTCATTCTGTATCTCCGGTGAGGCTCGGTGATCGGATGACGATGGTATAACACTGCAACAAAATGAAGTCAGTGGCCGCTTCGGCACTGGCTCGTGTGTACAGGTTTTTGTCTCCGACGATCCCGACCATCCTCACCCGTCTCGTTAAATTTCACTCTATTTCCCCTCGCATTTTGTGATCCCTAGTCGTATTGCTGCATCAAGATTTGATATTGTAGGCGTGTCCGATCATTCCTGGTAATCAAGAGCGGTGATGAGTATCTGACAGGAGCATGTCGCGTTGGCCTTCAGAGGCAGCATCGCTGCCAGTGAGACTATTCTTGTCTCTGAGCTCTCGACACTTCAGCGGTCCTGATTCCTCGCTTCCTCTTTTGTCTGCAGACTTTTGCTTTTTCTCTCATTTGTTGTTCCGAAAGCAACCGTATTGTTTCTTCATGTTTCTACCTGTTTGAGTCCGGATCCACCCGTTGCGAGTGATGAATCGCCTAGTTTCACGACGGTCGTCTGAGCACGGTACTAGCTGCCGTCACTGCTGAGTCTGAGCTTTCGAATCTGACGACCACCGGGTGATCCACGTCCCATCTTTCCGTGCTTCCCTGTTCTGTTAACCTCTTTAACATTTCTCGTTCCTTTTGTCCTTTATTCGTCATCCCTTACTTTGTCGTCGTTGTTTCGCGTCAACGGTCGTGCGGGCCCCATGATGCACTAATAATCTTTGAGACCTGAGCCAGCTCAGCGGCTGTGCTTCTCCTGATGACTATATCCGCTTAGTACCTGAGGGCACTCGATCTCGTTTCGTACCGGAACCTACTGCCCCCAACCCGCTATTCTTTCGCTGTCCCCTTTTCCCCGAGTTCTCCCGTTTTCATTCTGCTGTCTTCATTATTTCCTGACAACGCATCGTGAATGTGACACGGCTTTGAAGGGCCGGTCATCCCTTTGTTCCCGGCAATCCCAATGCCGGGGTCACCAGAAACCGTCCCTGAGATGAGAGCGCGGTCTCTCCCTCTCTACCTGCACCCCCGGGTGCAGATGCGGGAGGGAGGGGTCGCAGTGGCCAGACAACCACTGGGCGTTTCTCCACTGAGGCCTGGCCTCCCTCCCGCCTTGCCTCAACTATGAACCTGCCCACATTCGCTGTTTCGCGCATTATGCAAACTCTCTCCTTACACGCCGTTTCTTTTAAGCGAGGATGTGATGTGACAAGAGTTCTTTACCTTTTCCTGATCTTGAGTGCCTTGAGCGCTCAGCTGATGCTTCACATCACTCAGAGGCTGTTTCTGATCCTCCCATGTTCCGCTTTTTTTTTTCCGCTATTCTGAGTCATTCTGTATTTTTTTTATGAACTTTACTGTACTAGTCAGTTGAAATGTGTGTGGGAGTGATGAAACAACTTTGGTCCGTGTTTCTGATGGCTTGAGCCGCTGACGAAACTCGCAGCTCTGCTGCTGGCTGACCCACAGCACTCTATTTCCGCTCTTGCTTACGCCCGTCTTCAGCCACCTTGAACCTTCTTATGGCCACCTGCCCTGGTGTGCAACCTTTCTCGTGCACGTCAATGCGCGGTGATGACAAGGGAGGGTGATGCTTCAATTAGATGTACGACGCCCGTGCTTCCGCAGGGGTTGGTGAGTTTAAAACTTTGAGGCAAAATCCATTCACGTCTGACTCCCCGTTTGCAAATCGTCTTGCCCTCAATCAACCTCATCCCTCTTCCAGCGCCCTCTTGCCCTTTCACCGTGCGCTTGTCCGTTAGTGTTTTTTTGTTGTCTGTTTCCGCGCCTAAAAGTCCCCATAGCAGCGATTTCGTTTCCAAACAGGAGCGAGAGTCTTAGCCTGCAGTGGCTACGAGCATGGCGCCACATTGGTTGTACTCATTTGTGGGAGCCACGCTTTCCCCTCTGTCGTTGAACCAGTGGTAGCCAGGGGCTGCTGCTCCCTCCACATTTCTCACAGTTGGCCCTTCATGGAGCGTGAGCACTTAATTTCAATTGATGTCGGCTGTGTGCTCATGCATTGCTTTTTCTTGTGAAGTTCAAGAGGCTTCGGCTGCCTCTCGCTTCACCTGTTAACCTTCCCATGCTGCCTG